CAATAAACACCCATGAGGCAGAACAGCTCCTACAACTGGACTTCCAGCTGTTCCACTTTGGATCATGACCCCATCAAGAATACAAGGGGTTTGCCCAAACCAAACCACCGCTGGTGATTGCCCACGAGCTGAAGAACACAATGGAAAAGCTGCAACTCACCAGCAGAGAACTCCCGGGCGAAGGCCAGCGAGACGAGGAAGAGGGGCAGCCCCACGGTGACAAACTTCAGCAGGCGGTCGCTGGGCAGCTCCAGCCGCAAGCCCTTGGCCCGGGAGCTGCTGGGATCCGGGAGCAGGGCATCAGAGAGCATGTACTCAGCAGCTGTGTGCGACAGGGACATGGTGAAGGGAGGAGGAGACGCTGATGAGGCTGCCTGAGGTGTGACTGGCTCAAGGAGCGACTCTGCCGGGCTGAGGAGCCCCTGCCGACGTTCTGCAGAGCACTGTGTCCGGCAGCTGTGAACGACAGCTCAGGCAGGGCGTTAAATCACCTCGTAATTACAGGGGAAGCCTTTTCACGAACAGAAATAGAAAAAGCCACCCCAGCAGCCACAGCAGCGAGCGGGGAAGGCAGCGGGCTGGGAAAGCAGCTTTCCTCCCTGACAGCGTTCCTGCAGGGCAGCGTTCCTGCCCGGCCACAGCCGCTCCTGGCTCCCCGTGGTTTTATGTCCCTCTCTCATCAGCCAACAGATTTCTGGCGCTGTGGCCCGAGGGCATGGGGGTCCCCAGCTATTTTCAGCAAGGAGCCAGGAGACGGGGCCCTCCCACAGCAAGAAGCCCCAGCTGGATACACAGTGGTCCTGTGGGGCATAAAAACACCTTACCAGCACCCAAACCAGCCAGAGGGGCCAGAGAACATCCTGCTGCCCAGCCCCAGGGTCCTCAGACAGGTCAGGAGACACCAAATGAGGTAATTTTGAGGCAGAACATCTGCTGCCATTACCCAGATCACCAATCCTTTCTCTTGCCCCTCTCTCAGGGCACAGGGGGAAGAATCTGGCTCTAAGGAAAGCTCCCAAGGGCAGGGGACCCCAACAAGGGGTTCTAAAAATAAGGAATAGGTAACTGAAGGAGCAGTTACAGAAGTTTCCCAGCAGTACAGTGCTGAGAAACCCACACCAATGCTGCTGGCAGCACAGAGCATGGGCAGTCTCAGGGCTGCTCAGCCCAGCCAAGCCAAGGAACTCCCTGTGCAGCCTCTCAGCACAGCAAAAAAATAGCAGAGCCACTGCCAAATTGCACTTTCGATGGATTTTCCAATGAAGGGACTCTCCAAATCTGAGCTAAACAACTCTGGAGAGACAAGTGACAGTTCCAAAACCTGGGAGGGGCTGCAACCAGGTCTGCTCAAACCTACACAGGGACTGAGTCCCACCCGGCCAGAGCACAGAGACACACACCACCTTCCCTCAAGGGAACTGGAGCTTTTATTGCCCAGAGACAAGTTCAAAACACAAATCAGGCAAAGCCCAAGTTCCACCCAGCCTTGTTCGTCTCAGCTAGAGGCTCCTCAGTGTGTCCAGTGCTTTCCTGGGCCAGAAGCACACATAGGCACCCACTCTGAATCCAGCAGCACAGAGACTGCAGGCTTCACCCCACCACCAGCTCCAAGGTGGGCACAGCTGCTGCCCGTGCTGGAGATGTGGAGATACATGGCACCATTCCACTCCTGCCTCGTCAGTCCTTAGGGATGTCCAGCTCCAGCTTCCTCAGGGTTTTTTGGAAGAAGAGGGGCAGCTTGCAGACAAAGTCTAAGGGCTGGCCCAGGGGCAGGCAGAGGCGGTGGGCGTGCAGGTGCAGGGGCAGGTGCCGAGCCTTGCTCTGCTCCAGCTTCAGCCTCCTCAGGGTGAGCTCGGGAAGCTTCTGCAGCAAAGACAGAAAATGTTCCCTTCAAAACTGCAGCTTTTCAGCTGGGACTCAAAATCCCCAGCCCACGAGCAGCTGGGGGACACAAGGGGCTGTATCCAGCTCCAGGTGCTCCCCAGTGCAAGACCTGCCTTACCTGGGGCGCCAGTTTGCTCCAGTGCGAGTATTTGTGATCCCCCAGGATGGGGCATCCCAAGCCATAGGCCAGGTGAACCCGGATCTGGTGCTTCACCCCTGAGGAGAAAAGGGGAAGAAGAGAAAGCTGACATCCTGCTGGGCCAGGCCTCACCCTCAGTGCTGGACAAAGCCATGCTGAAATCACTGGCAGCCAGCAAACAGCTCGGCAGCGAAGCATCGCCCCAGCAGGGCTCACTCCCAGAGCACTGTCCCAAAAACAATTCCAGCCATGTCTAACGACAAGCTCCCCTGCACAGAGAGCACACCCAGCCCCGGGGCAGGCCGCACTCACCGGTGATGGGCTGGAGCTGCAGCAGGGAGCAGGCGGAGGCGGCGGCCAGCCGGCGGTACCGCGTCACCGCGCGCTCGGCGCGCCGCTCCCCGCGGGCCTTCACCACCTTCCCGTCCTCGGGACGCACGCGGTACTTGGGGGCCAGAGTCATCTGAGGGTGCGACGTGATATTTTAGTGAAAAATCCTCTGCTAGGATTCTTCCTGTCCTGAGGAGCTGAGAGCCTCAGGAAAGAAATGTAAACAATAACTGTGTGCTGCTGTGGAATGCAACAGGTGCATCTTTCATTGGTCCATGTGGATTGTTTTCAATTATTGACCCATCACAGCCACCTGGGCCAAGGCTGTGAGCAGTCACAGGATTCTGTTATGCATTCTATTCCTATTCTATTCTTGTCTTTGTAGCCTTCTGATCTTCTTCTCTCTGCTCTTTTAGTATAGTTTTAATGTAGTATTTTAATATACTAAATAACATAATAAATCAGCCTTCTGATGAAAATGGAGTCAAGCCTCGTGTCCTCACACAAGGGTTTGCCAAGACAAGAGTTGGGGGAGACGTGAGGGGATGCTGGGGCTGCCTGGCCAGAATGGCAGCCAGGGAACACAGGACTCACCTTGTAGTGGGACTGGTGGCTCTGCACCTCCTTTTCCACAATGGGGATCTCCACAACGCCCTCAACAGGGTCGGGGTCCCCCAGGACAATTGCCCTGGAAAGAGAAAGCAGAGGTCTGCAGGGTGCTGCTCTCACAGGACAGGAACCCTCCCCTCAGCCCCTCTCCCACGACCCAGTTCTGAAGGTGCTGAAGGGACAAGATAAGCAACACCCTCTACTTCCACAAAACCCCAACCCCAGGGTCCCCTCACCCTTTTTTAAAGGCCTTTCACAGCCCTATCTTCACTCAAGCCTTTCCTACCAGTAGATCTTCTCCACCTGACGGGTTTTGAAGAGCAGACGGATCTTCTCTGCTGCCTCCTTGCTCCGTGCCAGCACCATCACACCCGTGGTCTCCTTGTCCAGCCGGTGGCAGAGGTGGAGGGGCTCAGCTTTCATGTTCTCCAGCATCTTGGCCAAAATGGGCAGCACGTCAGCGATGCAGTTCTTGATGCCGGGGCCGCCTGTGTGACCCAGCAGCAAGGAGTCTCACCTCTCGTACTCCCCAAGCACCCTAAATCACCCCAAAATGCAAGGGAAGGCCAAGATCTGACAGTGGCCAAGCCCCTGGAACCTCCCTGGGAAGGGAAACCCCAGCACAGGAAGGGCACAGAGGATCCTGTAAGCACCACAGGCCCATTTCCATTTCCCACTCGCCCTCACCGTGCACAGGGAGCCCGTAGGGTTTGTCTATCACCACAATCTCCTCATTCTGGTACAGAGTTCTCTGCTTAAGGATCTTGGCCAGGACGTTGGGGTGAACCTGCTGCAGCTGCTGGCTCATTGCAGCGAGCTCCCGGAGCCATCGCTGCGTCGGGTCCTTGGGGATCTGAGGAGAGAAGGAGACACCAGTGGTGGGGTTTAAACAGCTCTTGGCTCTCACACAAACCTGCACTGGCACCTGCAGCAACGTGCTCGCCTTCCCTGTGCTCCTGCTCCATGGCTGAGGGACAGCCTGGAACCCAGAGGGAGCGGGACAAGCTCAGTCAGTGGCCCTGGGGAATCTCATGAGGCTCAACAAGGCCAAGGGCAGGTGCTGCTCCTGGGTCAGGCAACCCCCAGGATCAGTGCAGGCTGGGGAGGAAGGGATGGAGAGCAGCTCTGGGAGAAGCACCTGGGGTGCAGGGGGGGAGAGCTGGACAGGCCCTGGCCCAGAGCCCCCTGTGCTGGGCTGATCCCCAGCGTGGGCAGCAGGGCAGGGGGGATTCTGCCCCTCTGCCCCCAGGTGAGACCCCACCTGCAGAGCTGCCTCCAGCTCGGGGGGCAGCACAGGGAGGAGCTGGAGCTGCTGGAGCCCAGAGGAGGCCATGGAGATGCTCCAGGGCTGGAGGCCTCAGCTCTGGAGCCAGGCTGGGAGAAGGCTCTGGGAAGAGCTTAGAGCCCCTTCCAGTGCCTAAGGGGGCTCCAGGAAAGCTGGAGAGGGACTTTGAACAAGGGCCTGGAGTGACAGGATAAGAGGGAATAGCTTCACACCGAGAAAACACGGAATTAGAGGGGATACTGGGAAGAAATTTTCCCTGTGAGGGTGGTGAGGCCCTGACACAGATTGCACTGCCCCATCTCTGGGAGTGCCCAAGGCCAGGTTTGGAAGGAGCGTGGAGCACCCTGGTGTAGGGGAAGGTGTCCCTGCTCCTGGCTGGATGTTTTCTCTCCCATCCCAGCCGATCCCTCACCCGCTCGCCCCGCTCGCTGTGCACGCCGGGAGTTGCAGTCCGGAGACCCCGGGCCCAGCGGCCCGCACTCCGCTCACCTCTCGCTGTTGCTCCTCGCTCTTCCGCAGCCGCTCCGCCAGCTCCTCCGCCCGCAGAGCCGCCGGCGCCCGTCCGCTCCCGCAGACGCCCCGCACCGCCCGGGCCAGCCCCGCGCCACTCCGCCAACAGCGCCTGGCCGCGCCGCCGCCCGCCGCCATCTTCTGCCTCTTTCTCCGCGTCCCTCTGCCGGCCAATGGCGGCGCCGCGGGTGCGGCACAGCTGAGCGCCTGTCCAATGAGAAGGTGCTCCCTGCTGAGCGACAGCCGCGCTGGCCAATGGCGGCGCGCAGGGGTGTTTAAACCGCGGCGGCGGTTGCGGGTCACAACGGAGCAGCGGAAGCGGCGCGGCCGGGCCGGAGGTACCGGGAGCGAGAGGGGTGGGGGGTCCCAGTCCGGCCTCAGCCTTCCCCTCAGCGCCGAGCCCCCTCCCACTGCCCCCCCAGCCAGGACACAACACCGTTTCGCTGGTTTTCTTGAGATTTATAAAAAATAGCACTAGAAAAGCACTTTTTTTTTTTTTCAACTACAGTAGTTTAAAAAAAGGGTGAAGGGTCTGCTGTCCCCATGCCGAGGTGCCCCGTCACTCGGTGTCCGTACAGATCCTCTTGGGCAGCTGCTCGGGGGCCCCGGTGCTGCCCCGCTTGCCCTCGGGGGGCTCCCCGGCGCGCTCCCCCGGGCCCTGGGGCGGCTCGATGCGGCCCCTCCGCACGAAGTGCTCGATCCGCGCCTCCAGCCCCTCGCACCTGGGCCGGGCCAGCAGCGGCTTGTAGGTGCGCGGCGGTTGCGGGTCACAACGGAGCAGCGGGAGCGGCGCGGCCGGGCCGGAGGTACCGGGAGTGAGAGGGGTGGGGGGTCCCAGTCCGGCCTCAGCCTTCCCCTCAGCGCCGAGCCCCCTCCCACTGCCCCCCCAGCCAGGACACAACACCGTTTCGCTGGTTTTCTTGAGATTTATAAAAAATAGCACTAGAAAAGCACTTTTTTTTTTTTTCAACTACAGTAGTTTAAAAAAAGGGTGAAGGGTCTGCTGTCCCCATGCCGAGGTGCCCCGTCACTCGGTGTCCGTACAGATCCTCTTGGGCAGCTGCTCGGGGGCCCCGGTGCTGCCCCGCTTGCCCTCGGGGGGCTCCCCCGGCAGCCCGGGGCCCTGGGGCGGCTCGATGCGGCCCCTCCGCACGAAGTGCTCGATCCGCGCCTCCAGCCCCTCGCACCTGGGCCGGGCCAGCAGCGGCTTGTAGGTGCGGGCCTGCACCCCTTCCACGAAGCCGCTGATCTGGCTGTGGAGTGGGGGCTGCAGCTCACCCCAGGGCACCAGGCTGCTCCCTGGACCTGTGGCATCATGGAAAAACAACATTTCATTATCCCGTTCTTTCTCTTGTTTTTTCTTTTTCTTTCTTTTTTTTTTTTTTAAAGCAGTTAATCCTCTGTAATTCACACAATCCCATAATGCTGGTGTTGGAATGGACCTTAAAGCTTATCTCGTTCCACCCCCTCCCACGGGCAGGGACACCTTCCACTATCCCAGGTTGCTCCAAGCCCTGTCCAGCCTGGCTTTCAACACTGCCAGGGATCCAGGGGCAGCCACAGCTTCTCTGGGCACCCTGTGCCAGGGCCGGCCTGCCTGCCCTCACAGGGAAGAATTTCTTCCCAATACCCCGTCTAACCCTGCTGTCTGTCAGCATGCATTCCAAGTTATCCCCCCCAGAGCCCCTCTACCTTTTCTGGTGGCCACGGGAGCAGCATCCAGCCCTGCCAGCATGTCCCGGAGCACGTGGGTTTTGATGGCGTGGCTGGCCCAGAGCTGCTGCAAGTGTGTCACGTTGAAGCCCTGCACCTCTGGGTCGTAGAGCCACTGCAGGTCTGGGAACTCGCAGTCGTACAGGACCAGGGGGAACTCAACCGCCATGCTGTGGACAAGGACAAGAGGTGGGACCAGAGAAAGGGTCAAGAACAATGGATCTGCCAAAAGCAGTCCTAACCTTCACAGAACTTCCTTTCTGAGTAAAAAGTGACTTAATTTTCACCAAATACCAAGGACTACAGCTATCAAAACTTTGCTCAAGAACAAGAAAACAGAGATCCTTGTGGATACATTCCAGTGAGGCCACTGGCAGTCTGTTTCCATGCATGAGACTGCTTCGTGTGCTGGCATGGCTTAAACTCCAGGCAAAGCTGTTGCCCTGAAGAGCAGCCCACTGGGTTTCCCACACCAATCCCTACCTGTACTGTGGTTTCCGTGGGTTCTTCTCCACGTTCAGCAGCTCATCAATGACATCCGGGCTCTCCATGCCCTGGCCAATGAGGAAGAGCACGGCCATCATGCAGCGGACTTGGTGGTACAGGAATGCCTGTCCTGTCACCTCGAACTGGCACAGCTGGAAGGGATCCCGCGGCCTGGCTTCTCCTCCCCTGCCCACCCACGTCACCCTGGCGCTGAGGATCGTCCTCTGGAAGTTGAGCACCCCGTTGGCCACGTCCATCTTGCAGAGGTTGCGGAAGTCGTGGGTGCCCACGTAGCGCTGGGCCGCGGCGTCCATGAGCGCCACGTCCAGCTGGGCGCAGGGGAAGAAGTAGCGGTACGTGCGGCTCAGGCAGCTGAAGCGCGCGCTGAACTCTGCCCCCACGGGGGCCCAGGCCAGCACCCGGATGTCGGGCGGCAGCACCCTGTTGAGGATGTGGGTGTAGCGGAGCTCCTCCTGCTGCCCCTCGCCCTCGTGGCCGTTGAGCTGCTGTCCATCTGGCAGGCTGGAGCGGAGATCCAGGGAGATCACCTGCAGAAACGAGGAAAGACAGGATTAGAGTGCGGATGGATGGGCGCAGCGGCATGTGGAGCCAAGTCTTCCCACACCTCTGGGAAATAAATCCAGGATCTCCTACAGATGAAGGTGGCTTCAGTCAGGCAATCCTACCATGGCAGAGCTGCGAGTGCCTCTGAGGACCCGAGCAGATGCCATGGATTCCATTAATAAAACAGGGAAAGTTGCAGGCTGCCTACGTAGCACAGTCTCAGAACGGCTTCATCTTCAGTCACGGGGTTATAATGTGCTTTTTTTTTTCTCAAGCTGGAGGTGATGACTTGAAGGCAGTAACAGCCTGGCTGGCCGGGAAGCCTGGTGTGGGAACAAGTTCATTCCCACCGTGGGTGCTGTGTGCTGAAGTGGTGCAAGAGAAGGCACCAAATGCTCTGATTTCATGTGGCTGATCCTGTGAAGGAGAGCAGAGCAGCCCTTTGAAGTTAAACCTAGACCAGCTTTGCTTTCTGTGCTGGGAGGGAGGAGAGGAGAACCAGCCCTATGGTGAAGCCACCAAGGTTGCTCTCTCCCCAGTGTCTCAGCCAGCCTGATGGCTCCATGCCCACCAAGCAGGCCAGCTTGCTTCCCTCGCTCCAGCTCCCACTCCCACGCTCCCTTCCGCTGGCTGCAGCTCCCCTCAGACCCTTCTGTGCAGGAATTCAGCTGCCTGATGCTGCAGGAAGTGAGCCGGTTCCTGGAGATTTTGGGTTTTTGTAGGGTTGGCAAGTTAAATGAGCTGAGAGGGCCCTGCCGAGGGCAGGGCATCACCAAGCTATTGGGGAATCTGCAACCTAAAACACGTTTTATCCTCCTAAAACAGGACCCTGGAGAACAATTAATATGGGGGGAAATGGCACTGAAAAGGCTTCAAAGGTCTGAAATCATAATTGCACATGCAGGAAGCCGTTGCCAGGTTCATTTCCAGGTTTAAGAGCTGATGGCTTTTAAAGAACAAATCCAAGCAGTGCTGTGGGACAGTAAGCCCATCAGAACTCCACCCCACCCAGGAAAACCGACAGGAGCCCCCACGGAGATGCTGACCTGCCCAAAGGCACTGACACCCTTGTCCGTGCGCCCACAGCGGTGGTAGTTGGACGTCTGTCTGTCATCCACCAGCCGTGTCTTCTTCAGGGCTTCAAAGAGCTTCTCCTCGATGGTGTTGGGGGTGTTCTCCTGGCTGGCAAAGCCCTGGTAGCCCCAGCCCAGGTAGGCGATGCGCAGTGCCACGTGTCTGCGGCTGTGGGCGCCGAAATCAAAGGGCCGTTGTTGGCGTTTCCTGGCTTTCCCCGGGGCTGGAGGAGCCTCTTTCCTCCTAGCACCCTCCTTGTCCTCCTGGAGCTTCTCCTGCAGCCGCTTCACCTCCACTTCCAGCTCCTGCACCCTCCTCAGGAGCTGCTCATGGTCAGTAGCTGTGCTCTCCTCAGCCATAGCCACCACCTTGGAATGTCAGTTTGTTGCTGATGGATCCTTGGGGTCTGCAGGGAAAGAAAAAAATGGTGGATTTGCATTTTTATGTGTTTTTTTTTTAGATCTCTAGGCTTATTCTGCAAAATAACTGTTACCAACGGAGTCAGTCTTTATTGGCTGAGCCCCTTGGTGTTCCCAGGGGAGCACAGGCAGGGCAGGGCCACTGGTGCTTAGCTTGGGCAGCTTCATTTCGCTCAAATCTCTTTTTCTGGATGCTTCAATCACTCCTCTTCCCGCAGCTGATGGGATCTGCTCCGTCAGCAGCAGCACGTTCCCGGCGAGCCGTCACGGAGCCCTTGTGGCTTTCACACCTGCATCCCCGCTGCAGACAGCGTGCTGACGGCTGCCACTCATCCCGCCCCGCCATCTGCTCCCGCTGCTCCCAGCAGCACCAGCAACGCTTGCGGCTTTTCAGATTGCCTTAAAGAGATCCTAAACCTGTGCTCAGAGTGGAATCTGTGTCTGGATCCCTTTTTGTCACAGGGTTGGAGGTTTACTATCGCCAGACTCATAAATGAACATCTAAACACACTGCACTGAGCCCTTCCCTCCTCTGGAAGTAAAACACCCTCTTGGATGTCTCTTGATTAAATTACGACTACATATTGTGGGTTTAGAAGCAGAGGTACAAGGAAGGACCATTAATCTCTCACCCAGTGCATGGAAACTGCCCTGTGTTTTTCCATGAGTACCTAATTTATCACATAATTCATTTTAGTGTGGATTTCTAGCTTGAATTTAGGGGTTGTGCTTGTGTTACTGTAGGGAAGAGCCTTCTGCTGGCAGCAGGAGGTTTAGCAGTGCTCTGAGGACACCCCCAACCTAAATCAACACCCCTGAACCCAAAAAGAGCATCAGAACCCCTTTGACATCTATAGCCAATCTGAATTACTGCAATAAATTAACCCTGGTTTCTTTTTCTGCAGAATCCACCCAGTTTGGTGGGAACCATGGAGAAGGTGCTAGGATCAGAGTGTGAGGAGCAGCTGGCAGCTGATCTGAGCCCGTCGAGCTCCTGGCAGGGATGCTGCGACATGCCATCGTATTTCCAGGATGATCCCTATGCTGACACATCCATTGTTTGTGGCACACAGCCAGCCCTTCCCATGGATAAGAGGGAAAACAGGAGGATGGTGATGAAGAGGAAGGTGCTGAGGCACAGACCTGATGGAAGGGTGGAGGTCTCCGATGAGTCACCGAGCATTGAGATAGATATAAACACCTATCCATGGAACCTGGGGCATTCCAGGACTTACACGGATGACACCGTCTCCCAAGGGGAAACAGAGACCAGCAGCGGCACCTTGGAGGACTTCCTGCACTATGATGATGATGATGACTGGTTCATTGAAGACAGGCCCTACTCTGTGCAAGGGGATTTTGGGAGCGACACTGCGTCCAGCCGCTCCAGGCCACGGCGACCGCCCACAGAGGCCGCTTACATTGCTCCACAGGCTGAGAGAGTGAAGAGAACTGACCCGGTGGCCAGACTGAACGCGTACAGGAAAGACTGGGAGAGGTTCAGCTTTCCCGGGCAGGATTCGCATCAGAGCTTGCGCTGGGCCATGCGGACGCAGATGCTGCAGTCGGGGCTGCCGCGCCGGGTGCAGAAGCGCCTCGTCCCCAACACGTACGAGGTGCCCACCACGAAGAAGCGCGACTCGCTGCGCTTCGGCGTGCGCTGGGACCTGGCCAACTGCCACATGCCCCGCCGGAGCACCACCTCCTAGAGCCACAGCCCCGCCGCTTTCTTCTCCTCAACATCCTCCGTAGTCTGGAAAATCCCCCCGGTGCGCTTCAAGCAGCTTAACTTTTGGTGTGGAGGAGGTTTTCTTTGCAATGTCTCAGCAATATCTTTCTCAATAAAGCATCTGCAAAGATTCCTTATTGTTCTGTTGGTTCATTAGAAACACTACAGGCAACGTCCAATATTCCAGACTTAACTCTCCTGCCTTTGCCTTATTTTACCTCATCTTTAAAATAAAGGAGCTTTAGAATGGAAGTAAGGTATTATTAGCACTACTAGTAGTGTTATTACTATTCCTAGTGTTAATTTTTTCCAAGATAAGGGAATGGACTGAAAAGGTGGCAGTTCTGGTGTAGGAAAGGGTCCCCGAAAGCTCAGTGGGATGGCTGGAAAAGGGAGCAGGATTATGGGAAGCATGTGACAGCTGCAGCCTGGAATTCTGTGTCCAGCCTCCCCTGAACCTCCCCTGGAGGTGATCCCAGATGTGGAACAAAGAAGCTTGAGGACCCCCTTGTCACCCCACAGTGAAGGGGTTCTGGGATCTTGGGGGACCTTCCAGGCTGGAGGTCCCTGACTCTCCAGCACCCTGTGGATCCTCGTCCCTCTGTGAAGGGGTCTTTGCACTCCAGAACCCTTGAAACCCTCTCCAAACCCTATGGAGGACAGCACCCCAACCTTACAGCTTCCTGTTCCTTCCCCACCCAAGGGCCCCTTCCCTCCCCTCTCAGAGCCTGTGATGTCCCTGACTGCAGCAGGGGACCCTTCCTGCCCTACAGGTTACCTGTCATCCAACTCCCCAGGGACCCCCCAAAAGTCCATGGGATCCCTGCATCTCCATCACCTTGGGGACACCTCCTTCCCTCCCGGTGTCCCAGGATTCAGCCCCGAGGGGCAGGGGGACACAGCCCCCAAACCCTGCGGGCTCCGTGTCGCCAGCAGGGAACTCTCCCTCCTCCACGGTCCCTGTCCCCGACCCCGCGGGGCTTCCCAGCACCCCATGCCCCAGGAGCCCCCCAAGCCTTCCGGGGACGGGCGCTGGCACCCTGCGGAGCCCCGAGTGCAGCAGGGGACCCTCCCGCCCCACGAGGTGCCGGCGCCCAGCACCCAAGGACGCCCGCCCGGCCGCGGGGTCCCGGCCGTACCCGCTCCCGCCGGTGCCGGTGCCGGTGCCGGATGTCGCCGCCCCATCCGGCGCTGCCGGCACTGTGGGACGGCTCCATGGCGGGGGCGGAGCGCGGGCTGCGCGGGCTCGGCGCGGCGGGCGCTGCCGGCGGCCC